GTCCTGGCCAAATTGCAGTTCAGGTACAGTAATTACGTTCTTCCTTATGCAGTTTTCAAAATTTCCCCTGCAGTTTCAGTTTGAGGTATTTTTTACTTCCTTTTCTAAACTTCTGTGTCATTTTGCTATGCTAAACAACTGCTGCATTCAACCCTAAAAGTAATGGCTCTATAAATCCCTTACCTATGTGATAACTGAATAGTGAGCCATGAAATTAAAGTTTCAGATTCCCCACACTGCTCTGAGATCCTCAAATGAAAGGTATAATAGTAGTGCAAAGAATTATTATTTCATTATTATTATAACTACTATACATTACAGGGAGAGTCAAGAATACAATGTATTGCTTACTCTGAATTTTTTTAATTGTGTGTGTTTTAACTTAGACCTTTCCCATTATTTAAAATAGATATTTGTGGGGGATTTTTATATTTTGCTTCCTAACAAACCGAAATAGCAATTTTTTTCACCTTTTAAAATCATACACATTTATTTTAAAAAAATACAAGCCAGCCCTACAGAGTTCATATTGTCTATAAATATCCTTTGGGGGTAACATACATTTTATTTTATGTGATTGACTGCCAGGAAGGATCTGTTTCATAATGTGTTTTCTGGCAATGACATGGAAAACACCTGCAATATTTAATATGAAAATGAGTCAGTCTTATATTACAAAGATAACCAAGCAGAATCTTAAACTGCAGAATTTCCCCCGGCTTTGTTTCTAAGGTTGTCCTGTGCGTCACAGTGGCAATTTAAGTCAGATGTCACTTCCTTAACACACCCTGCTATGTTTAAGAACAATATTGGAATATAGCCAACATTATATCGCATTTGTAGCATGACACCACATGGGATTTGGAAAATTGTGCAATACAGTACTTACATTATTTATAAATGTACTTGTTTGCTTTATTTTGGTTTAATATTTAGAAAGAGAAAAAGAGAGAAAATAATTCATATAAGCAAACAACAGGTGACAACAGACTTTAGCCATTAAAAATCATTAGTATTCCAGAGCAGTGGTCCATGATAATAGTAACATAAGAACGGCCGTACCGGGTCAGACCAAAGGTCCATCTAGCCCAGTATCCTGTCTACTGACAGTGGCCAATGTCAGGTGCCCCAGAGGGAGTGGACCTAACAGGCAATGATCAAGTGATCTCTCTCCTGCCATCCATCTCCACCCTCTGACAAACAGAGGCTAGGGACACCATTCCTTACCCATCCTGGCTAATAGCCATTAATGGACTTAAACACCATGAATTTATCCAGTTCTCTTTTAAACGCTGTTATAGTCCTAGCCTTCACAACCTCCTCAGGTAAGGAGTTCCACAAGTTGACTGTGCGCTGCGTGAAGAAGAACTTCCTTGTATTTGTTTTAAACCTGCTGCCTATTAATTTCATTTGGTCACCCCTAGTTCTTGTATTATGGGAATAAGTAAATAACTTTTCCTTATCCACTTTCTCCACATCACTCATGATTTTATATACCTCTATCATATCCCCCCTTAGTCTCCTCTTTTCCAAGCTGAAGAGTCCTAGCCTCTTTAATCTCTCCTCATGTGGGACCCATTCCAAACCCCTAATCATTTTAGTTGCCCTTTTCTGAACCTTTTCTAGTGCTAGTATATCTTTTTTGAGATGAGGAGACCACATCTGTACGCAGTATTCAAGATGTGGGCGTACCATCGATTTATATAAGGGCAATAATATATTCTCAGTCTTATTCTCTATCCCCTAATAGATTCCTAACATCCTGTTTGCTTTATTGACCGCCTCTGCACACTGCGTGGACATCTTCAGAGAACTATCCATGATGACTCCAAGATCTTTTTCCTGACTTGTTGTAGCTAAATTGGCCCCCATCATATTGTATGTATAGTTGGGGTTATTTTTTCCAATGTGCATTACTTTACATTTATCCGCATTAAATTTCATTTGCCATTTTGTTGCCCAATCACTTAGTTTTGTGAGATCTTTTTGAAGTTCGTCACAGTCTGCTTTGGTCTTAACTATCTTAAGAAGTTTAGTATCATCTGCAAACTTTGCCACCTCACTATTTACCCCTTTCTCCAGATCATTTATGAATAAGTTGAATAGGATTGGTCCGAGGACTGACCCTTGGGGAACACCACTAGTTACCCCTCTCCATTCTGAGAATTTACCATTTATTCCTATCCTTTGTTCCCTGTCTTTTAACCAGTTCTCAATCCATGAAAGGACCTTCCCTTTTATCCCATGACAGCTTAATTTATGTAAGAGCCTTTGGTGAGGGACCTTGTCAAAGGCTTTCTGGAAATCTAAGTACACTATGTCCACTGGATCCCCCTTGTCCACATGTTTGTTGACCCCTTCAAAGAACTCTAATAGATTAGTAAGATACGATTTCCCTTTACAGAAACCATGTTGACTATCGCTCAACAGTTTATGTTTTTCTATGTGTCTGACAATTTTATTCTTAACTATTGTTTCGACTAATTTGCCCAGTACCGACATTAGACTTACCGGTCTGTAATTGCCGGGATCACCTCTAGAGCCCTTTTTAAATATTGGTGTTACATTAGCTAACTTCCAGTCATTGGGTACAGAAGCCGATTTAAAGGACAGGTTACAAACCTTAGTTAATAGTTCCGCAACTTCACATTTGAGTTCTTTCAGAACTCTTGGGTGAATGCCATCTGGTCCCGGTGACTTGTTAATGTTAAGTTTATCAATTAATTCCAAAACCTCCTCTAGTGACACTTCAATCTGTGACAGTTCCTCAGCTTTGTCACCCAGAAAAGCCGGCTCAGGTTTGGGAATCTCCCTAACATCCTCAGCCGTGAAGACTGAAGCAAAGAATCCATTTAGTTTCTCTGCAATGACTTTATCGTCTTTAAGCGCTCCTTTTGTATCTCGATCATCAAGGGGCCCCACTGGTTGTTTAGCAGGCTTCCTGCTTCTGATGTAGTTAAAAAACATTTTATTACCTTTGGGGGTTTTGGCTAGCCATTCTTCAAACTCCTTTTTGGCTTTTCTTATTACATTCTTGCACTTAATTTGGCAGTGTTTATGCTCCTTTCTATTTGCCTCACTACGATTTGACTTCCACTTTTTAAAGGAAGTCTTTTTATTTCTCACTGCTTCTTTTACATGGTTGTTAAGCCACGGTGTCTCTTATTTAGTTCTTTTACTGTGTTTCTTAATTTGGGATATATATTGAAGTTGGGCCTCTATTATGGTGTCTTTAAAAAGCACCCTTGCAGCTTGCAGGGATTTCACTTTAGTCACTGTACCTTTTAACTTCTGTTTAACTAACCCCCTCATTTTTGCATAGTTCCCCCTTTTGAAATTAAATGCCACAGTGTTGGGCTGTTGAGATGTTCTTCCCTCCACAGGGATGTTGAATGCTATTGTATTATGGTCACTATTTCCAAGCGGTACTGTTATAGTTACCTCTTGGACCAGCTCCTGCGTTCCACTCAGGACTAAATCTAGAGTTGCCTCTCCCCTTGTGGGTTCCTGTACCAGCTGCTCCATGAAGCAGTCATTTAAAGTATCGAGAAATTTTATCTCTGCATTTCGTCCTGAAGTGAAATGTTCCCAGTCAATATGGGGATAATTGAAATCCCCCATTATTACTGAGTTCTTAATTTTGATAGCCTCTCTAATTTCCCTTATCATTTCATCATCACCATCACTGTCCTGGTCAGGTGGTCTATAATAGATCCCTAATATTATATTCTTATTAGAGCATGAAATTTCTATCCATAGAGATTCTATGGAACATGTGGATTCACTTAAGATTTTTACTTCATTTGATTCTACAGTTTCTTTCACATATAGTGCCACTCCCCCACCTGCAGGACCTGTTCTGTCCTTCCGATATATTTCGTACCCCAGAATGATTGCGTCCCATTGATTGCTCTCAGTCCACCAGGTTTCTGTGGTGCCTATTATATCAATATCCTCCTTTATCACAAGGCACTCTAGTTCACCCATCTTATTATTTAGACTTCTAGCATTTATGTACAAGCACTTTAAAAACTTGTCACTGTTTATCTGTCTGCCCTTTTCTGATGTGTCAGATTCTTTTTTATGTGAATGTTTATCATCTGATCTGGCCCTTAGAATATATTGGTAACATTATTAGTATAATATAATAGTGGTACCTATTATAATCTCTTACTTAAAATTTTCCAACAAGTAATTTGACACAGAAGAAATATAGCAACAAGGATAACTGAATTCCACAGATTAAAATGGTATATGGTATATTGTTATTTATTTTTAAATCCACTACCGTTTGTCTCTCTTTAATGTGTTTCTTTACTAGAACATCTGGTGGTGACTGTACAGAACTACTAACATTTGGGGCCCTGGAGCTATAGTTTTGTTGTATTTATCTTCTTACAGTAATATTTTCTCATCTTATGTCATCTACGTAGTGACTTGTTAGCAGAAGCATCTGCACGGAGACTATTGCTGTACAATACTGTATGGCTGTTTTCACACACGCGTAACTACCCCTGTGGTACGAAAGGCTGTGTACTGTTACCAGGGATGAAAGTAAGGCGGTCTGGTCCGGTACTGCATACAGGAAAAAAGTGGTCATTGGTACCGGCCTGTACCGCTGACTTTAAAGCGCTGCCCCGCTTAAAGCGCCGTCGCCGATGGGGGGTGGGCACAAAAGGGGCAGCGACATTAAAGCGCTGCCAGAGCCAGCCCCGTACTCAATTTTACTTTCACCCCGATTGTTCCTGTCTGGCATGGAGACTACACAGCTGGACTTTCCCAAACGTTGAGGGAGTTCTGATTTGGTTCATTAGAACATCAGGACCAGCTGCAAAGTTTGGCTCTGAATCCAAACTTCCCACGCAGCTGTGGGGAGCCCGGGGCTGGGGCTTGGCCCCATCGCTCCCAAAGGGGCTGTGTTAGGCTCTGGTCCGTGGGTTTGACAGCGGGTGGCTGGGGACGGGGGGGAGGCAGCCCGGAGAGGCAGCCAAGGCGTTTACCTGCTGCACCGCGGCCTCTCGCAGGTAGGAGTCCAACACCAGCAACAAGGGCACGTGGACGTTTCGGCTGCCGAACAGCCTGGGCGCTGGGGCGGGGAAGAGAGGAAACAAAGCGAGAAAGAGCCCGTTACTCGCCGGGGCAGAGCGGGGGAGCCCTAGTGGGCGCCCGGCCCGCCCGGACAGGAACCTCACCGCGGGGCCGGTGGGCCAAGGCCAGCAGGTCCTCCAGCGTCTGCAGCAAGCTCGCCAGCTGCTTCCCCTCCTGCACGTTTATGAGGCGAACGATCAGCTTCCTCAGGGCGGCGTCCTCCCTCTCCTCTTCCTCCTCCTCAGTGCAGCTGCCGCGACTGGCCATGGCTGACCCCCTCCTCATCGCATGCAGAGCGTCTGGTCTGGGAGCTCCTCGGGCTGCTGAGGCGGCGCCCGCTAGTAACCGCTGCCGTATCTATCCCACGGCTCAGCCCCGCCGCTGCAGTCATCGGGCTATTTTTGAGCCTCTCCTCCGTCCCCCCGCCCCCTTCGCCTCAGCGCTGACATAATCTGCGGCGAGACCCGAGAGGCCCTGCCCCGGTTTGAGGTGAAGGGGGTGCAGCGCTGCCCAGCTACCCTTAGGGGGCGCCGACGCGACACACTCTCTCGGTAGGGGCATTTCAGGGGAAGAATCAGCCAATCAGTTTTCAGCCGCGGACCGCTCTGCCGTCCAATCGAATGGGAGCGCTGGGAGGACCGCCCCTTCGTGCCTCTCGGCTGCAGGGGGGGGGGGGGCCGCTGCCGCCCCAGCTTGCGAATGTCGCGTATTGTTGCTTGCTGTGGTTGGGGGTCTCGGGTTTTTGGGCGGGAAGCAGGCGAGGGCTGCAGCTGTGGCGTCTCCTTCTGGGATCCTTGGGGGGCGGGGCGGGGAGAATGGGTCTCGCAGACCCAGCACGGGCCGTGTGGGGGGCAGCGAGTTGGGCAGTCACCCGGACACGGCTCGCGGGGGCTGCCCCAAGGGGTCAGGCTAAGCACAAAGGGCCCAAAGTGCTCGGCTCCCTGCCTCCCCCACGTGTCTCATGAGGGGCTACAACTGAACTTAGGGTGACCAGATGTCCCGATTTTATAGGGACAGTCCCGATTTTTGGGTCTTTTTCTTATATAGGCACCTATTACCCCCCACCCGCGGTCCCGATTTTTCACCTTTCCTGTCTGGTCACCCTAACTGAACTGCTTTTTTCCCGATATGGGGGTAGGGTCCCGGGCAAGTTATGCCACAGCCGCTCCCACCGGCAGGGGCCCTCGGCTCTGGTTACTTCTCAGAGAGTGACTGGTGCTGGCACATAATTCCCAACCAGCGGCTGCTAAAGTTAGAACATACACCATGTGTGGCTAGTCCTCTGATCTTCCAACTCCCAAGTACCAAGCTGTCCTCTGCAGTCATCTCTGATACTTTGAAAGGAGAGCCTTTAAAAAGCGAAATTTTAAATCATTGAACAATTAGCCAAATCCATCTCCAGAATGAGGGGGCCTTCAAATAAAAAAGCACCTCCCTTTCACTGAGTGAGGGCTGGCAAGTCTGTGAATGAACTCTGTAGCCATCATCCAGCAATTAATTATGTGACAGAGGTTTCAGAAGCATCTAAACATACTGCAAATATCTTAAGTATTAAATTAAGATTTAGAATCAAATCTCGACTTTTCATCTTCCCACCACACATGCTTTACTTGATTATATACAATTATCAGAAGTCAATTTAGCCAAACAATTGGTGAATTCAGTAAGGAGTGATAATGTATGGTAAACCAACTGAAATGTGATCTAAAACTTGTAAACTTGATGTAGCTCTGTGGTGATGTGTTTTTGTGACAGATATACACAACTGGAAAATGTAAAAGTTTCAATGTATTAACCAGCTTGTTAGTGTATCTGTCTTTAAATTCATTAATGTGTCTGTCACTTCTCCAGAATGCTTGTAACGGGTGCCAATAATCACTTTAAAAAATCCTCTAAAAATGGGGCTTGCAACAATAAGAGTAAAAAATAGGAATACTTTCACTGACTTAACATTTTACTAAAGATTAACAAATGAACTGTTTTGAGAAAAGTGAAGCAAGTAGGAGATAATGTAAAAACAGATAACTGATTGAACATGAACACCATGATGTATGCTTTCTGTAAGTTTTCCCCAACTATTGCCTCATTTTGGAAGTATTCTCTTGCCTCACATCTTTCACATGTTCTCTTTTGCTGCTTTTGCAAGAAGAAACCTTGTACTATCACCAGTTCTGTTTTTCACCATTTTTAATTGCTTCTAGCCGTTTATAATCTGTTACTACAGATCACATTTTTAGTAAGTAAATTGTGACCAATACATGTGATCAATACAAAACTGTGCTGACTAAAGGAAGAGAAGGTGAATACTTTAAGACCAATTAAGTTTATCTCTGTTAAACAAGATGAATGTCTTATCCTTTTTGAAGGAACAACTAGGAGTGTGGGGTTCTTTGAAGCTTTCATGATTACTATATCCTAATGCCCTGTTACTGATAAACATGCACAATGCTTAATGTGAAAACACCAGCTTAACTCCTCTTTTTAAAATGTTTCATTTTTTAGACACAAGCATTCTGAAACACCTACTAATCACTAGTTACTGCAAATGCTTGTTGACTAAACTATCCTTGGCCTATTAGTATCAACTTGATCCTAAAAATGTAGGGCAATGCTGTCTGAATCAAGCCATATTTTTAAGCATTTGTATACAAAGAAACTTTTGTCTTGGTTTCTTAATTATAGACCACAAAACCACGACTGCATTTGTGACATGAAGGGGGAAACAAGCTAAAACTTCAAGCACTAAAAAGACTATATGAATCTGTGTCAGTCTGATGAAACACTGATTTATTAGAAACTAGTTGAATGCTTTCTCATTTGAACTAGTGCTAACTCCCATAATGACAAAGTAGATTAAATATAAGTACATACATATCAATCAGCACATCTAATACAGTTTTCTTTCTGCAGAATTAATAGTTCAAACACTGTTTTTAAGGAATAGTGCTGGATTCTTGCATTCCTGACTGTCTGACAGCAGCTAGCATCAGAGACTTCAGAGGAAAGTTTAAAATATGCCATAAATTGTAACATTGGTAATTGCACCTTTGGGAAGACTCTAATATCAAGCATGAGGTTTTATATCTCCTCAAATGCTTATCCTAACTAGTATAAATTGCACATCTTTACTAATCCTATTCACATAACTGTCTAATCCTAAATTGAATCCTGCTGTGGATGGTACTCTTTCCTTTTTGAAGGTTGATTATAAAGGCATTGTAATGGGATTTTAGTGTTCATGTGTGTAGCTGCCATAAGCTAATTTTAACTCTTTTATGGGAAAAGCTTGTCATCTAGCTAATCAATGAGATCATTACTGAATTACATTGCATACTGAATTTTGAAAAAATTATTGAAAAAAATACTAGATGGTTCTCATGTAATTATTGAATAAGACATTCTCCTCTTTCTTTTTAGAGTTAAAAATTAATGATTCATTATAATTAGTCATTTGGAAACATATGACTATCTGAATATCTTCATACTTCGTAGCTCTTCTCTGGGCAGAATCAGCATTTACTTCTATTTCAAACTGGTTGAATTTTGGTAAAATTGGCCTGCTTTCTTTTTATGAAGCACAAAAGAGAAAAAAGTAGAAATACACAAGTGCAGTGGAGATAAGATTGGAATGTCAGAGAGTATAACTGGGATGAAATTATAAATTTGGTACTTAAGGGGAGATCACAAACATTCCAATTTTTGATGCACAATAGCCATAGTGCACCAAAACATTTTACTTGCACTTGTCTAGTTGTAGTAACGCCTAATGGAAGTGTACTTGGTAGCAGCAATTAAGAATTCTGCAAAATGCAGTTAAAAATCCAACACAGATCACCTAGAGAAGAAGGTCTAGAAGTATAGTAGCTAGCAATCTTGAGACTTCTAGGTAAAGCAAGTCACTGTAATTTCTTTGAAAATGTACATTATTTACATTCTGATTATCTACAGTCTTAAGATTTTCCCATAAGACCTCTTTCATTAATGCAAATATTTTACTATATTTGACAATGCTACGTGGACATAAGGCAAAATACTTTAAGAACTTAAAAAATTATGTGACAGAGAAATAGCTTGCACATTGTGCAGATACACCTCTACCCCGATATAACGCGACCCGATATGAATTCGGATAAAACGCGGTAAAGCAGCGCTCCGGGGTGGGGGGCAGGGCTGAGTGCTCCGGCGGATCAAAGCAAGTTCGATATAACGCAGTTTCACCCATAACGCGGTAAGATTTTTTGGCTCCCGGGGACAGCATTATATCAGGGTACAGGTGCATATTAAAAGCATATGTTCTTAAAATATATTCTAAGTGTTATCCTACTAAGCTGTCCTTTAAAGAGAAACACTGTTAAACCTTGTTTGCAGCACACATTTTAATTTGTAAATGCTGTGTATAAGAGGGAGATGCTATCATATTTAGCATGAAGTGACTTACTTGAATAGAATGTGTGCTATACATCCTGGCTCCATGGGCTTTGTCTGTCCTCAGAAGCTTCTGTATATAATTCTGCAATAGGAAATTTAGATCAGGAGCAAATATTCCTCATCTTTTTCTCCAATTTTGTGTTATTCCTGGCAAAGAAAAATTCCTTCATTGATATAGCATGTAAGTCAAACATGCTGAAACTGGCAAGCAGCAGATAAGAGTAAACATGTAAGCTAATGATTAAAGTTTGAGTAAGGAAGTATTTCTCTCTGGTAACAAAGCAATTCACTATTTATAAATGACACATATAACAAATCATTTCAATTGGACAAAGAGAAAAAATAAAAATATCATTAGTTAAGTGTCTGATCTTGCAATAGTTACATAGGATTTTATGCAAACAGTATCTCTTGATTGAGCTCATTCACACAGCCAGGCAACAATAGGACTATTGATGTCAGTGATCTTTACCTGCCTCAGGACTGCAGGATCAGGCCTCAAAAGTATGGACAACTTTTATTAAATTACTTTAATAAAGTAATTATTAAAGTACTATATTAAAATCTTTTTGAAAATATATTAATCTAATTTTCAGAAAGTTCTGGTCAGATCAAATTGTATTTTTTCTGCATTTTAAAATGGCGGTGGTTTTTTATTTTGAACACCAGTGCAATTTTCAAAATTCTCATGATCTCAGCAAACATGTGCAGATATAAGAAAAGATTTTCAAAAATGGAAAATGATGTAGCAAGACAATTGTAATACTAAAAAAACCCTGAAATTTAATACAAAAAGAAATACCGTATATACAAACAAAACATATATATTTGTGTGTGTATAGTCTAGTCTCTTCCAAGAATATTGAAGTCTATTTTACTATCTATTTTACTTACCTGAAAACTTGTATTTTTAACTTCAAAAAGTACTGAGCACAATAAAACTTGTCACTCTTATTCCAGTAGCTTTTGACTTTTTCCCCCACGGGCATTTGCTCATCCTACAGTATTCTGTTGAACAAGTTG